TTCAATACAATTTGTCACGCCCCAGTTCTTGTGTTGATGCGGATATTGTCAGTGACAACATTCAGCGACGATGTCTCAAAATTCGTTTGGCAGCACAGCACTTAGGCACTCGCATTGCATTGGTGCATAAGTTGGTGATATCTTTATTTGCTTGGTCCGGTGCTTTTCATCACTTCAGTGCAAGAACCATTCGAACATGGACATCTATGATCGAAACTGCACTTTGGGGTCGAAGGGCTCCTCCAGGTAGGAGCCGGCTGCTCTTTTGGAATTCTTTGGGTTCTGCAAGACTACATCCGATGTTTGCGCTCCAGTTCACCGCCGCCCGGGCGGAATGGAATCGGCAATGCCGCCGTGCCCAAGGGTTGCCTGCAGCTACCTCGCCTGCTCCTCGCTGGAAAGCAGTACTCAAAGATTGGAAATGGCGACTTGACGATGGCCTGTGGCACACGCCTGCTGGGATTTTGAAACCTGGGTGGATGTCTTTGAAAAGCTTGCAAAAGGCCGCTATCCATTCATGGCTCGTTGGTTTGTGGACTAAAGACACCAAAACGGATGGTCGATGGCCAAACGGCAAGGAGCCGGTTTTCCTTTTTCAGGCAAATGCAGCTTTAGGCATGGATTACTACAGTCGCAGGGTTTTGACTGGTGCTGCAGTGGATGGCAGGGTCACAGAGCGCTTTGGTTCTGCTTTGAGTTGTGAATGTGGATTGCGGTCTCCTGATCGAGAACATCTCACTTTTCACTGCCAAGCGCAGCCATGGGATGGTGAGTTCAGGAGCGCTACTGAACGTCGTTTGCTGGTTCCACTTGTGGATGCTCCTCCTGTGTTGCCTTTTTCCAACATGGTTGCAGATCCTGCTTTGGTTACTTTTATTCAGCAATTCGATCCTCTTCAGCGACCCACCTTGGGTTTGGACGGCAGTTGTATCATAGTTACTTCCTGTGATCGATGGCAAAGAGCTAGCTGGGCGGTTTCGACACTTTCAGGCACCACTGTTCAAGGTGCCGTGACTGGTTTTGAGCAAACACCTGCTGCAGGTGAGCGTGCTGCTCTTCTGCAAGCTTGTTTAGCCTCTTCTGCAGCTAACAGACCGGTGATGCTCTTGATTGACAATCAGGCTTTGGTGCGGCGGCTTCAGCGAGGCATTAGCACTGGCCGTTGGGAGGGTGACTTGCCGCTTTTCTGGCAGCGGATCAGCGGCTTATTGATTCAGGGCACTGTTTGCACTTGGATCCCTTCTCACAACAAGGTGCCTGACTGGACACCACCAGATGGTTGGATTGATGTTCATCTCTGCCGCGTTCTCAATGCGACAGCCGATGCTCAGGCAGGTGAGGTGTTGCGTGACTCACGCTCCATGATCGCTGCGGCTGTGCAGCGACATCAGCGAGCCGTGGCTTGGGCTGCAGCAGTTTGGCGTCTGCAGAGGCTACGGACTTTACCTTTTTGGCAAGTCGTACTTGATCAACAAACATTCCTTGCGGAATGCTAGCTGGCGCACTGTGTTTACTTCTTTTTTTCAGGCAGGTTTCGCTTCCTTTGAGTTTTGCTTGGAGAAGTATGGGAACTTGATTCTCGCAGATGGCATACTATGGCGTCTTAACTACTTCACTTCGGTGAGGAGCAGGTTGACGTCCGCTTACAACAACAACAACAACAACATCAGCCTTTTGCAGCCTTAGGTGATTGCTTGAAGTGTTTCTTGCTGTTGCGGAGTTTGTGGGTTTTCGCGCGGGTGGTCGGCTTCCATTTGAATGATTGCATTGAATACTTTACTGCCCCTTGTTGGCCCCCCTTGCCCCTCTAGACTCCTACCGAAGTTTTCAGCCCAGAAAGAACATGAATTATGATCTTTTCAGTCAATCCCGTTATTAATTAATAGTATTAATTTAAAACGGGATGGAGTAAGAATCTGCTTAGGGAAAGATGTGGGAAGGTGAAGTATTGAAGGCTCTCTTACTCCGCCATCGTTTCGATATCATGTCAATTACATTGGGTAATTGAATTAAAACATACCACGGAGTAGCGGAGTAGCGCGGAGTAGCGACGGGATGGAGTAAGAATCTTAGGGAAAGATGTGGGAAGGTGAAGTATTGAAGGCTCTCTTACTCCGCCATCGTTTCGATATCATGTCAATTACATTGGGCAATTGAAGTAAAACATACCACGGAGTAGCGGAGTAGCGCGGAGTAGCGACGGATTGGTGAATGTTGCCTGGGTGGTGCTGCATTGCAATCGCCACATTGGAGCTAAGGAACGGAGACAGCTATTACCACATGTGCGCTTTCAGGTTCCATTTCTGGGGCCGGAAAGTCAATTGAAATCAGGCTTCGCATGTGCGGGCCTCCTCTGTTCCAACTCTATATGCTTGTTGCTTAACTAAACGCAGTTGTCATTTTTTGTTCGTTGCACGGGTCCGCCTTGCTGTTGATTTTGCGATTTTGCGGTCTCATTTTTGGTACCGCCAGACGGTCCCAAAAATGGGACCGTGAAAGTGCTTTTCTTTTGTTCTTTTACTAAGCGGTGCATGCGGTCCCAAAAATGGGACCGCCAGGCGGTCCCATTTTTGGGACCGTGTTTAGGTTAATTTTTTGAAGTTTGTTGTATCAAGGTTGCAGAAGTGCAACGTTTTGGTTTCAAGGAAGCTTTGTGGCTTATGGCGACCGGAAGGGCAACTAGGGAGGCCCTTTTGAGCGAAGCCGGTTTTGAGAAGGTTTTCCGGACCCAGAATTGGGTCCGTCGGAGGAAGCTGTTTTGTAGATGATTTTGTTTCTTGTTGGGGCAAGCGGGGTGCATATCGGTTGCTGCTTGAACCCAGTTGAAGGTAGCTTTTTATTATTTCGTTTCGTCTGGTGGCTTGATTGTTTGCTGCTAAAAGAAGGCGCATCAGCCTTTTGCAGCCTTAGGTGATTGCTTGAAGTGTTTCTTGCTGTTGCGGAGTTTGTGGGTTTTCGCGCAAGTGGTCGGCTTCCATTTGAATGATTGTATTGAATACTTTACTGCCCCTTGTTGGCCCCCCTTGCCCCTCTAGACTCCTACCGAAGTTTTCAGCCCAGAAAGAACATGAATTATGATCTTTTCAGTCAATCCCGTTATTAATTAATAGTATTAATTTAAAACGGGATGGAGTAAGAATCTGCTTAGGGAAAGATGTGGGAAGGTGAAGTATTGAAGGCTCTCTTACTCCGCCATCGTTTCGATATCATGTCAATTACATTGGGTAATTGAATTAAAACATACCACGGAGTAGCGGAGTAGCGCGGAGTAGCGACGGGATGGAGTAAGAATCTGCTTAGGGAAAGATGTGGGAAGGTGAAGTATTGAAGGCTCTCTTACTCCGCCATCGTTTCGATATCATGTCAATTACATTGGGCAATTGAATTAAAACATACCACGGAGTAGCGGAGTAGCGCGGAGTAGCGACGGATTGGTGAATGTTGCCTGGGTGGTGCTGCATTGCAATCGCCGCATTGGAGCTAGGGAACGGAGACAGCTGATACCACATGTGCGCTTTCAGGTTCCATTTCTGGGGCCGGAAAGTCAATTGAAATCAGGCTTCGCATGTGCGGGCCTCCTCTGTAGTCCATTTGATTGCAACGCACCCCAACCAGTCGACCACATCCGGTTCCATTTGTTGAGCCAATGCGTGGCCTCTACAAATGTTGAGTAAGGGCCGAAAAACATACCCAAGATATATTCGTAGGATTTTTTGGATTCTAAGCATCACTGCAGATCACAGTTTCATTGTCGTCGGTAAATGGAGCGATCTATTCGTCTTCTTGATTGTGTCTTCGTGCTTCTTCTCTTTTCCACTGATCATGGAGCGACGATGCAAATTCAGAAGCTTCCAAAGTCAAAAGGCGAAATGCACGCATACTCTGTTCCAAACCTAGAATATTTGGCAAATGAGTGAGCTGAGCGTTGGCCCACATGTATTTGTTGGCAATTTCCTCCCAGTCATTCGGATGTTGCTTTCCGATGCCATGTGTCACATCATTGGTAAGTCGCTGAACTAGCATAGCAATTTTGGAATCTGTCTCTGCAAACGTACCTTTCCTTTTGCTTTGCAATGATGTTTCTTTGCTTTTCAATTTGCGAGCATCCACGTTCCCATTCTTGTGCAGCAGAGATTGAAAAAAATAAGCTGCATCCGTCCAAGCTAAATCGAAATGATAAAACATTTCCAAATCGTTGTCTGCCAACTTCCTCGTTACATGCCTCCCTTTCTCTAGGAACTGTTTGACATTGATTGTCCGAGTGTTCCACTCATCATTTGCAGTTTCTGTGAAAGCTGAGTGGATGCATACCGTCAAATGACCTGTCAACAAATAAACCAGGCATGCCGTATCTAGTTCCTCGGGTTTTGGCATGTTGCGACCAAGTAACGAAAGTTTTTGAGCTCGAACTGCAAATAGAATCGAGGACAAGATGATGTGTTGTTTGGATCTGATGGAAAAGACCATGAGGACTGTTTGTCTTTCGCCCCCAAGTTTACCGTTTCCGCGTTTGTTTGAAGCCAAAAAAAAAAGTACATTTCCCTTGCACTTCGAACAGAAATCAACAAGACCTTATGAGAAGATGCAATGAAAGCTAGAAATTCTCTGCAAGAAGCTTATTCTGAGTCAGTAGCCACGATAAAGAAACGAAACATGTTTCAGCAGACACAGCAGAACAACTCTCTGATCGTTTCTTCCGTCTGTGTGCAAACGGAAACCTTGTCTAATTAAGCTTCATGTAAATTCTACAATGAAGCAAAAATGCTTTTCCCAGCATTCATTAATTTCTCGTTGAAAACGAGACAAAATGATTGTGCAGGGCAGCTAAGAGGTAACATGATGAAACAAACAGCTTGTACATATGATTTTTATTTCCAATCGTATAGCAAATATATAATCCTGCCATAGTTGTGTTGATCTGAAGCCCGATCACTCGCTGTTGAAGAGCCCTGCTTTGGAGCAAAACCAAATGGACATCGTAATGATAAATCTCTCGCATTTCATGATTGCCACGGCCACCATGACTTCTGTGACGTGCCCCATCGTACATCTCTTCTTCGATGTTCATAGTGGTGCCATGGAGGGTTCGGCTTGCTCTTTCTCCTGTATCTGACCAAAGGTCGGAAACTGTTTTCGGCAATGCACTTCACTCGATTGATGTTTTTTTTGGGTTCAGGTCGATCATGTTCATGATTCTCAATCGAAACCGTGTCTTTTCCAAGGTGAGCGGTCTCATCTTTTCCGGGTCTTTTTGTCTCTTTCTCGATCATCATTTTTGCTTCAAGCTCTTTGTTTGCGGAAGGCGAGGTTTTCCCTGAACTCAGCAAAGGCAATCCTTTTGAGCTGGCAGGAGATTCTCTGCATGCATCTTCCGAAGAAAGATTCATCCACATTGCAGCTTCCTCATCTCCGTCGAACATGTCGTATTCTTCTAACAAAGGTTCATATTCTTCATCAAATGGGCTGTTCAAGGAGGGTTCTTTTGCACTCCTCGATTGTTTTGTTTTGAGTGTTTCCAGATCATCCATTACCGGAATCTCCGACTCACACTCTACTCCAACTTCTTTTTCTTTGTCTTTTTGAGTCTTTCCATCTGATTCCGTGAACAGTTTCTCGGTCACTGTGACCCAGATCATTCTTCTGTTGATGGCCCTTGAATGATCTTTGTTCTCAGTTTCCCTTGGAAAAAAGGTATGCCGTTCATGATTTGTTAGAAATATCCTGACAGTATCAGCAGGAATAAAACCATCCTCATGGCGGCATTTCACGGCTCTTTCCGATTTGACGTCGAGAAACGACTTCACCTCGTCAACTGAGAAGTTCTGCAGTGTGACGTCGTCGAAAAGAATCGACTCTTTTCCTGTGAAAAGCAATGATTTCACAGTATCCAAACTGTCCACAAAAAAGTACTTTCCCATTGAGGCCAATATTGCCTTTGCCATTTCTGTCTTTCCAAGTCCTCCCTCGCCTTGGATGATAAGAGCCATTTCACCTTTGAAGTGTTCCATCCAAACACGAATTGTGTCTGGGATGTTGAAAGCAGATAATGGATATTTGCTTGTAGCTTTCGAGGTGCCTAAAAAGACATCGTCCCGGAATTGGGCCATGTGTGCCTTATTGCATTTCTGGATTTGTTTGGCCACAGCCGCCGTTCCACCATAGTTCCACAGAGTTGGATTGCCTGCTTCTTTCTCCTTACAAGCCAACACCCAGAACTCTTGTTCGTTTGTGATTTTGTGGTGTAGGACGTAGTCGGAAAATTCGGAGAAATCGAGCACTCTCCTTCTTTTTCTCCATCGGTCCTGATGTGTACCATCGCCATTGTTGCTTTCTTCCTTCCATTGCATCCTATTTTCTTCCGCTCTTTTTTTCAAGTAGTCCTCTTCGGTGAGCTGCATCTTCTTCAGCATGTCTTCTTTTGTCATTCTTGTCGGCCAGAATAATGGAGTCGGGTCTAAATGTACGGGTAGCTTCACAGCAGAGTCTGTGAGCACGTACTTTGCCATTTGGTACCAGCCTTTCCTCGGGTACGACATGTGTCCATGTAGCCCGTAGTGTTGAGCGAGTGTGTTGGACACCCCTTTGTGGGCAAAGTTTGCAGACATCTTGAAACAAACGTGGTAGTGCATTTCGTGTGCACTGCCATCCGGCATAAGCTTCTTGTGTGGTTCGTAAACCACTATCATCTGCCTCAATTTCCCCATCAGCTGGCACTTGTTCAAAGCATCCAAAAAGTTTTTTTCGAGCTCCTCTCTGCTGATGTCTCTTGGAATCAGCTCATTTTTCTTCTTTCTTTCTTCATAAGTTTTCAAATACGATCTCGGTGTGGGGAAGGTCCACATCATGATCCATGATCTGTGTTCCGTTTTCAGAGCCTTTTCTTCCTCATTTTCAGAGGAATCGTATTGACAAAGGACATATGAAGAATCATCCTTTTGTTGAGCAGCTTGCTCTTCATTCTGAGTAATCGGAACTGAGGATGTCTGCAGACATGGCTCAGAGGGAGACGAGGACATGAAATCTACGTTCTTTCAATTCAGTAGAATCGCTGTTTGTATTATTGTTTCCGATGTATATATATATATATATATATATATATATTATATCGTATAAATATGTCTGGATGATGCGAATGTGAATGCGATATTCTGTTTGAACTGCCGTGCTGCAAAGACGGATCATAGTTCAGTTCTAAGCTTATGCAAAATGTTTCAAATATGCTGTTTCACTATGCTGCGCGTTAATTTTCTTGCGCTCACAATGCAGTTTGTGCAAAAGAATGCATGGTGATCTTCATTCGATCACAGGACTTGCCTGAATTACTAGACAATGTGCACGCAATCACTCGCTCTTCATTTGTAACATCTTGGAGATTTTCTGGCTGACGATGACTTTGCCTCCATAGTTCCACAAGGCATGGTTACCTGCATCTTTTTCTCTGCCAGCAATTTTCCAAAACTCGTTTTCATTGGTGATGCCATTTTGTTTTGCAATCTCCACGAAATCCGCAAATTTCAGCGTCCTTCTTCTCTTCAGCTGTCGCTGCTCCAAGGTTGGTTTTCCTCGTTTCGATGTGCACTGTTTATGCGACATTGCTTGATCCTGCCATTGCTGAACCACCTGACTCTTGGTCTGCCACATGTGCGGCCAAAATAAAGGGATCTTGTCTTCGGCCACCTCTTTTCGCTTTGTTTTGCAATCCAGAACATACTGTACAAGACTTTGCCAATTTTTCTCAGGATGGCTCATGGAACCTCGGCATCCCCTTTTTTGGGCAAGCAGTGTATTAATGTCGTCACTCGCAAAAGAAGTTTTCGTCTTGAAAATAACACGAAATTGAAATCCGTAATGGTTGAGTAGTGGCTCTTTGACCACAACGAGTTGCTCTAGAATGGAGCCGTGTCCAAGTTCCGACATAGCAGTTCGAAACATTTCACATATGTCGTTCCTCGAGAAATCTTCTGGAACATACTGACACTGATCCTTTCGTTCAGCTGCATTCTGCAAATAATCTTGTGGCGTTGTGAAGGTCCACATATGACAACATGCACGGTGACGAGAATTAGCAGAAGTCATCCGTGACAAATCACATGCAAAATGAACGTGCTGCCTTCGAGACGAAAAAACGACGGCGGGGAAATGTGTCGGAAATGTTCGTGATAAAGTGAGCGCATGAAGTTGCATGATTCAGGTTTAATTCAAGAACAAATCCACAACAATATATCAACAAAGCGTGACTCAAGGTTTGATGAATAGCAGAACACTAAGAAAGCTAAGAATTTCCAATTACATGCAAGCCAAATATTGCTTATGAACTTCTACTGTCGACGACCTCTTTTTCTTCTACGCCCCAGGTCGAACATACAGAGACAACTACATCTGATGCAGACGTATTGTCTCACCCACATTGACACGAGAAATTGTGTACATAACCCCGTTATTTGAAAAAAGCAAATGTATCATCCAGATGCGCTTGGAATATTCTGGCCTTTTTTTTGGCCAATGCAATTAGTCTGTTTGTTTTAATAGTCTCTTGGAGCAACCTTTTTTCTTGTTCTTTTTTTTCAGAAAAAGCTCGATCTTTTTCGTCTTTCAAAAGCTTGCATCTTTCGAACAGTTGCGTTGGACTCCACATCTGATCTCCAATCTTTATTGTCTCTGTTGATTCCTGGGCTGGTATGCTCAGCTTCCTTTTTTGATATTCTTCCATAAAAATTCGAGCACGAGTTTGTGAATCAATGCATCTATTGGGAACAGTTTCAGCAAATTTGCTTGCTGCTGTACTGGAGAACTTAGCACTGTTCTGACGTTTGTCAATGTCGGCAATGAGTGCTTCAATCTGTTTTTCTTCGTCTTCAACAGCTTCTCTTTTCTGTCGCAGTGCCCGCAGCTGTTCCAGGCTCTGTCGTCTAATGTCATCTTGGCTCTGACAAGATTCCAATTTTCTTTTTTCCAGTGCTGAACCATTGTTCAAATTCTGCTTGGTTGATGACATGTTGTCGAGATGTTCCACAATGTCAGTCAGATTCTCAATGTCGAGGTCAATCACCTGCAACAATTCGGTCAACACTGTTGCTAGAGCTTTCCCAACCTGACTGAAGAGTGTGTCATCACAGCGATGTTGCACATTTCTCAAATCTTCTTCTGCGTTCCACTCTGGAGGCAGTACGTTCCCATTGTCGGACAGAAGTTTTTGCCAAATTGTTGTAACCTCCTTCATGGACTTGGATAAAACTGCCAACTGGTGTACATCCTCCAGTGTAAGCTGCTTCTTCAAGAGTTTCACCAAACCAATGAATGATCTGGCAGATTCTGGCGTGCCGCTTGGTAACTTAGATGTCATAAGATGTGGCATGGCGAATAGAGCAATGCTGCGTAATGCCAATAAAAACAGTCTGCTGCTTTCTAGTTGAAATGATAAAGGACGACTTCTTGAGATCGTTGATAACATAAAAGCGCATAGTTGCATCTTGTGTTAAGTACGCATTTCATGTCCTGAATCAAATAAAAGAAAAATTGCACAGAACATCTCCTTGAGCCGAACGAGGAAGAATGAAGAATTGGAGTCACTTTTCTCAATCTGATGAGTAAAACATTGAAATGAATTACAATCCGGTCTTTCTTTTTCTGCCCGAATGCTGAGAAAATACTTCTGAGAAGATGATCATCCCATGATCAAGCCCCCTAACTAATCCTTTTGAAACATTTCAAGCATATGCCGTCTCTTTGTGGTATCCTTCTGTCCTCATCGTTTCTGCTGTGCCATGGCATCTCTGCGGGCCAAAGCTGCAGCCCTATTAGCTGCTATTCTTGCTTCCGTCTCTCTGCGACATTTTTCAAACAATTCAATTTCTTCAGGTCTGTACCATTTTCCGTTCATCCACCTTTTCTTTCCTGGAGATACTTCATATCTGGGTTGGAACTTGGCATGATAGTCGTTTTTCGGCTTTTTCATCTCGGGTGTGTCTCCTCGGAATAAATCAGCTGGTTTGGGAGCTCCATCCACATAGTGCGAGCTGGAAGATTCTCGACATGTCGCCACAAGTTTGGCTTCATCACGTTCGCATTGTTTTTTGACCTCTCTGATCTCTTGCAGACGCATGATGTGCTGTTGTTTGAGTTTCTCCTGTTCAGCCTTCTCAGCATTTTCTTTCTCCTTCAGCGCCTCTGCTTCCCTAGCTTTTCTCGCTTCCTCCTCTTGGACCCAGTCCAAGAGCTCGAAGTCTCTCACATGCTTTGCTGCAACAATGCATTCCAGTGCAGTTTCGATGATCTCCCAATCGCAGGCAGCCAAAGTACCCACTTCGAACACTTCGACAAAAATGATTGCGAAGGCATTGCCCAAGCTACCAAATTTAGTTTGGTCCACATTCTTGCTCAATGATGCTCGAACTGAATTTCGTGGTTTTGTAGTGGCTCCAGTCTCTCTGGTGATCTCATTGGAGATGTTTTTCATTAACTTCACCGTTCCTCCACGTCACCCAGTGATAATTGCAGCTCCAAGTTTTTGATTAGAGAGACCAAGCAACCGGCATCTGCTGGACTCATGTTTGTAGGTTCTACAAGCTCCAAGTTCTTGTTTTAAACGTCTTTCTACGAAGAAATGCATATTTTGCAAATATAATTGTTTGCTGCATGTCTGTTTGTTTTTGAAACAAAAAAAGTGTGTTATGTCTCTTGTCTGCAACCAAATCACGGACGAACCGATCTTCGACTCTGCAGGCAAGAGAAATACGTTCCTACGAAACAATTGTATAATTGTAGAACGAGTGAATAATGGAAAACAAATAATGGAAAAGAGGATATTAAGCATAATCATTCAAATTTCAGGACCTGAAGCCAAAAGACACGTCGTACACGAGATAGCATATTTTTTCACAACCATTCAAATGTTACGAGATTAATGACACGCAGTGCAACGCTCAAGCTCTTTTTGCTATTCATGCAAGCGACGACTCAGTTCTGGTTTTGAAAAGCAAGAGAAATCATTTCTCTTCTCTGCGGACAAATCACGAACAATCCTCGATCATCGATTCTGCTGACAAGAGAAGTGCATCAATCGTCCATTGGGAGTTGATGTGAGAAGACTTAAAGAGGTAACGCAAGACAAAGCTGACTACTCTTTGATAGCTGACTGGAGATTCTTTGATTGCCAGCACTCACTCATTCGATTGAGCACCGTCACTGGTTCTGTTCACATGTTCCTCACTATTCACTGTCTCATTGGGCTCGACATTCTCAGCAGATAAATCTTCAGCCGCATCTCCATTTTGATCCTGAGCAGAATTAGGGTCTTCACTTCGTTGGGTTTGACGTTCACGTAGAAGCCATAAAAGGTCCTCATCGTGCAAATTGTGAGCAGCTTTCATGAGACGTCTTTTCTTCTGCTGTTGCACCTTCACCGTTTTATTCATCTCTTTGAGATCTTGTTTTAGCTGTTGCTTTTTGGCTTTTAGTGCATCAAGGTCTTGGATCGCAATGACTTTGCGAGGACGGGCTCGTGGCTTCGCCGCTGCCGAACTAGCCATACAGAATGAGTCGAGAGATGCCTGCGAGGTCCAAAAGCAGCTATCAACTGTAAGCCAAATTTCTGTCATTTGATTTTGTTCCCCCGATTGTGTGGCGAATTGTAACCATGCCATGTTGCAATGCAAACACAAGGCAAGTATATGAACAGATTCATCACATGTCCGACAACATTCTCGCAACTTTTTGGTTACAATTTAAAAGCATTAGATCGCGTTCAGCTTTGCTGAATACTTTGTTGCAGAATCGAAGCTTTTGCGTACATATTCAAAATCTTCGTTAATTCGTAAAGCCGTTAAGTCGTTAAGTTTTGTCTTTTATTAGATGTATTCTATTTAGAAAAAAAGACTTAATGCTTTATGAATTAATTAATGATATTAGGTAAAATATACCATTTTGAAACCTCGATTCAATCGATTTCAACTGGTTTCAGCTTTGCTGGTAACCAGAATAATGACTTAAATGGAATCGTCTTTCGACGAGGCCAGATTTCTTGCAATTGGGTTTCGGAAGGCAAAGCTGTAGGACTGTCTGTTAGACGAGTAACTCCAAGCTGTCGTAATTCATCACTTATGGATTTGGCTTGGCCTAACAGTCCCACGTTGTGAAACGCTGTTTTCCAATTCCTTCCTCGCCAAAACAACTTGTTTAGGCTGCTCAATACATTAAACCATTCTTTGGTTCGCAAGGTGCCATCGTTGTCTTGCCTCTCCATAAAGAGTTGATGTAAAACTGATTTGTACGCTTGTAAACAAGAAACATCCAATGGTTGTAACATGAAGGTTAACCTTGCAGGAACATATATCAGCCACAAATTCAGTCTGTTTGCAGCTGAAATCACCGATGCATCAATGTGACATGGAGCTACATCTAGCAAAATAATGATTTGATGATCTTTTGTACACGAAATGAGTGATTTTGCTATGTTCTCCAATATCACAACCATTTTCTGAGCCGTGTTCCATCCTGATATGTCACGAATAAATCTCAATCCCGGTGGGACATTATCTGGTATATCTTTCTCTCTAAAGGTTCGTTTGTTTAACAATACGAACTGTGGCAGTAAAGCCTGAATTTGTGGCAGGTGACTGATTGCAGCCACATGTGTTGCAGTGCCACGTTTCAAACTGCGATTGATAAAGCGAGCTGGAGGTCGACCCATATTTGTTTTTTTTGGTCACGTAGCCCTTCGATCGTAGTGCACATCGATGAATGGATGTCTCATCGATGTTGATGAGACAAATTTCTTTGCCATCATGACGTGCTTGCTCGCACAAATAATCGAACCATTGCCAGAAGGTTTGAACCTGAATGATGATTCAAAAACATGTTTGCTGCCAAATTACATTCAGTTTTTTGAGGCCCGAATTCGGCTTCAAAATATTACTATTTTTATGCTTCAAAGGTTTCAATGTAATGATTCTATTTATTTGAGGTAAAAAAAGAAATAAAAGAGGAACCTAAAAATGTACTATTTGTTCGAGCCTTTTCTTTGAGTTCTGATGGAGGCATGAATTCGCGTTCCATCATTTGACCGTGTCTGACTTGCCATCTCTTCTTAAATCTGCAGCACCACTTCCTCATCGTATTCACGACCCTGATGCCTCTTCCTCCAGACTTGTTTTCAAGTGGATAATCAACTACTACCGGATGACATTGGTCGTCACAACTCTCATGTTCATTTCTCTTCAGTTGGTCAAAGTAATATTGCACCAGCTGCACAGACGATACAGTTCGTCCCTTCTCCATGTTCTCTTTCTCCAGCCACAGACAAGTTTGCATCTCTGTGATGAAGCGCCTGGCTTCTTGAAATATGCAAATATTTTTTTTGGAGAGTGGATGCAAGGCAATCTCTTCAAGAACGTTGAACGGAACATTCAAAAACCAGTCACGAATAGGAGAAAAACGACAATCGTCCTCAGCTTTCTCGTCGTACCCAACTGATCTTTTGCCACGCTTTTTGAGTAGATACTGCATCACTGTTTCATCAGAGTAATTCGATTGCACATAGATTGACACAGCAACAAGGCGAGATCTCTCCGTCGAATTCCATGAGCATTTTTGTCTTTTTGAAGCTCTGTAAAGCCTTTGTCGCATGTTGTTGATGATCTTCTCCAGATGTCGAATTTCCTACAGGGTAATAATACTATATATATATTATGTAAGAAGATATATAATCTCAATATTGTTTTTATACATATAAAAATGCATTAATTCATGAAGTCATTAACAGTAAAGTTGTTTTTTTTTTTAATCGTATGTCTCTTTAGAAAAAAAAGGACTTAACGACTTAACGAATTAACGATGTACGTGGAATTGTAAAAGAAACGGACGAAAAAAAAGTTAGTTCGTAGTTTTTCGAATAAGATACTTTATATTAACATTATATATCCTTGAATATATAGATAAATATTTATATATATATATACATATGTGAGTTTACATTTGTTCTGCTGAACATGTGAGTAAACAAAAATGTCCAAGATGTTAAAAAAAACAAAAAAACATACTGATCACAAAAAAGAAGAATTCATGATAAAATGATAGCAAAAATGCTACTACTATTGGGTGACCAGAATAAATTACACGAATCAGAACCATTCTTGAAGCCAAAAACAGCTTCAAAACTCCTCCTTCTTGGAAGCTTGATCTTGAACGGACATGGCAGAAGTACTCTCAGAAGAATGAAACTCGAAAAGGCTGCAGTGGAAAAAACATATAAACATTTTAGACGAGACAAGTTGAGTATAATATCTATCTAGTTGCCATACATGATCAAAACAAGATCATGTAAACCAAGGACAACACTATTTCCAGACAATGCCGTATTTCATATACCACACAAATCGCAACAATCCAGGCGCATTTTTCTCGGAGAGATCACGATCGATTCGGTGAGACAATACGTCTTTGGGCTTTGTAGGCATTTTATGACCTCAACCGCGAGTATTCGAAGCTTTCTTTTGCTTCTTATTCTTATATTCCAGAGCGTCAGAGAGAGGAAGTGTCCACAGTACGATTTTGCAGGTTTTCATGAATCCTTTTCGATCTAAAAGTGGACTGAAACCTTTTTCTTCCTCCAATTCCGCGACGAAGTTCATCAGCTGTTGCATCCACAGTTTCAATTGTTCCTGACTGCTCAAAGATTGCTTGTCCTTGCACTTTGCAGCAACATTCTTTGATGCATCAGCAAGAAATGTCACTCGCAAAGGGAATTGCTCTGGCAAAATATTTTCTCTCTTGATATACAGGATGTCAAATTGGCTCACTTTGACGATCCCTGTCATTGTGACATCAGCTACGACCGGTGAACCTTTCTTCGATTTTGTTACCTCCGCTTTGGGTTTTCGATTGTCCTGTAAAGTGTCGAAATTGAACACCAGCCATCCTTCATCAATCATGTGATCCCAGCTCAAAAAGCCGTCCACAGGCAAGCATTCGTTCAAGTCAAAGAAGGACATCACAACCCGATTCAGATGATCATTTGACTTGTTGAACTCGTGCTGCTGGTTCAGAGTAGTACAGCTCATGAAATTGCCCCGACCTTCGCTGTCCAACCACAAAAGCTCAATAAGCATCTGCAAGTTTTTCAATCTCCTCAGTTTCCGATCTACAGCCTCGAGTAACGGGTCTAAATCCTCTTTCACTTTCATATTCGCTGCCGAAATCTTGTTGTACAAATTGTAACCAAGATTGTACTGTTTCTGAAATGTGGAGAAACGATGTTTGCGAATTTGCTGGCTGGCACACAATGCCATGCCAATCATCTGATCGTCTGATAATATCTGCAGCTCCAGGGCATCAGAAACAATAGAAACGAAGTCAAATATCTCATTTAATTCCTTTTCTGAATCTTTCTCCGATTCTTTCTCCTCGGTTTCCCTCCCCGGATTCACATCCTGTGTTCCGCTTTTGCTTGGACGAGCTCTGTTTCCTCCGGGCGGGTTCCAAGCAAATGCCGGGCTAGCGGCCTTTGCCTTTGGCTCTGCAGTTTTTTTCTGCAATACCGGGTTCAACAGTTTCAGCTGCTTCAGCTGATTCCTCCGCTGATGATTTTCTTCATCCAGTCGACTGATATTTGCCAAGAGTCGGGGATTTAGAGGACAGAAAGGCTGTGAATGATTTCTCACCCATCGCATTGTGACGTTCCAACGTGCGTCTTGCTCGTTGACCAGATTGAAGGACTCAATACGTCTAACTTCCTGTCGCATCAAGTCTTTCGAATTCGAAAACCACTCCAATTTTAGTTTCACACCGTCCCAAGTAGTCAAGTCGTCTGCACAAGCAAGAAGCTCTTTGATCTCCTGAAAACTTGGTACACCATGTTTGTAAGCTCTCTGAAACTTGCCGCCCATCACAAGAATTGTTCCCGGAGGCTGATACACAACAAACGCACGTTTGCCCTCGGTCTTCTCTTGTTTCTCTGGTGCTCTGCTGGAGATGATAACCAGCAAAGACCCGAGTCGGCAGGAGAAAGAAGTAATGGGATCTTTGTCCACATCATATCCTTCTTTAATGTCATCGTGAAAAGAGATTCCATGATTCTTGTTGTACGTGTAGCGGTTGATCAGCAAATGAAAACCTCAGCCGGACCAAAAGATTAAATTATAATGATGCCTTTGTCTTAAAAAATAAGAATAATAAGAAACATTATACATACATAAGCAAATAGACCCAAATTACTGTCGAGAAACTTCCAGATCGGCTATACCAAGAAGATGCATTGTCTTGAAGGAAATGTTTTTCAAAGAACTGCTGTATGGCCAATCCCTGCATCGAATGTCGTGCAGCATAGGTAGTACGAACTCTTTCCTGCTTGTTCTCGCCTCCAAAGGAAAATATACATTGACACGATCCTCTGTTTATGGAGGCACTTTCATAATACACCACCCTGTTGTTGCTGATCTGCACAGTTTTCGCAGGATTCTGAGGGTTGACTTTTCTCTCTTCGTCCAGCTTCATGTCAAAAACTTGTTGGCCAAGCATCGGAATCTCGTTCAAGATGTCTGTCGGACTTGAGCTGCTCATCTGGAACAAACAAGAGTGTGTTGTAGACCCCTTTTCCAAATTCCGTGACAGATCATCAATCTGAGTGTAGTTACTTCCTCTGCCAATCATCTTGCAGAACTGCAGCACATCTTCTGCTGTATGAGCAATTTCAGGCCAAGCGAGAGGCATTGCCATTTCGAGAGAGGTTAGCAAACAAGCTAAAGCAAATGCTAATGAAATTGTTCAATAGATTTATGCACAAGCCACTAAACTCAATTAATCATAGCAAAGTCAGTTTACTACCCGATCACGAACGATCCCGATCACGGATCAACTGACAGTGCAGGAATCAGCAGTAGGTGTCTGCATTGTTGTTTCTCATCGTTTCCCTTGTCGATTTTGACAATGTGACTAGCACAGCTTGACATAAAATGTAAACGACAGGTGAATATGTAAATGGTGCTGTGACAACAAGTAAACATCATGACTGATAAAACAGCAGGGCTCTTTGTTTTGTCAGGCAGTCGTGTTTTAAAAACGCGAACAAAAGACAGCCACTATTTAGTAGTTGTCCAATGCCATACGGTTCTTGTGAGCCATTGAATTGTCATATGGAACTCCCAAAATTGAAATTTTTAATTCTTCTTCATCATGCACTCGAATCCTGCTCTTTCTCTCGTTCTCGAAATGAATTAATTGGAGCAACCAAGAATATACACGCCTTTCTGGAGTGTGCGAACCGCGCTCTTTGGCTTGCTTCACAACTTCTTGTAATGCGTTGGGAATGAAATTGAAGCGTAGACACACATCGTGCCCTGCCTCTGCAGCTAATAGAGGAACATCCAGAAAATGTATTCTAAACATATCTTTGAGAGCAACATAAGTGGGCTCCCGTTGTTTATTTTCGATCATCTCTGCAAACACCTCATCCGGCATTGCGTCGAAATTGAGAACGAGCCATCCACGCTGCACGATCTGACTCTCAAGGAGACAGCCGTTTTCCAATAAAGTCTGCAAGGTGCTTAAATTCATGCTGAAACGCTTCATATAATTGCGTATAGAAGACCTCGGTATACTCGGAGAGCTAAAACATGACAGAAAAACTCCTTCGAATGTACTTTCCAAAAATAGAAGCGAGTCCAAGAACAGCAGGCCTTTCAGAAGTTTGCGTTTTTTGCGGATTCTTTCAGTCAATGCCTCAGACTGTTTTTTTGAAAGTAATTTATCGTTGCACATGTCGACAATGTCGGAGCTCAAATCTTGCAGCTTCTGAACCACAGATGTCAATTCGATCTCACGAGATAAACGAGCTTGTCTGGGTCCTCCAAAGTAAGAAGGCAGAACTGCAAGACAATCATCTGTCAGAAGCTCGACTGTCTTCAACATCATTCTGTACCATCTGGAAGCAAGTTCGTCTGTCATATAGTGTTTGGCACTGATTTGCTGCAAATCTTCTTCGGGATTGTATGATTTCCAATCTTCCTCTGAACGATTGTCATCCGAATTGATATCATCCATGTGGTTAGACGAAGCACTGCAATCGCATCTTTTCCTCGCCTTGTTCTCTGCAGTACTGAAGTCACGAAAAGTTCTCTTGTAACCACGAATGAGCATTTCAAAAGCTCAAACACAAATGGCAAACTCGAGCCGAGACTGCGAATTCAAATGCGATTGCCGCTTGATGTTTCCATCATGACCAATGTCTCGTGCCTTATGATTCGACCTATCTAGGAAAACAAAAATCAAAACACTTGGAGATGTTCAAAACAAAATTGCCATAGAGAAAAAACTGAATGCAAATCACATTTAAGAGCTGATAATCCTAAATTGACAACGACGATGTAAAGCAACGACGTGGCTAGCATCTGTTTTTTTGACAGCACAGACCAGTATCTGCAAATTGCTCTTATCTGCATATGACCCTTGGTGAAAATCAACAGACGCACCAAGAATAGCATGCACAGTCCCAAGCACCACATTAAGTGGATTACTCTGTGAAAGAGTCAGGAAATTAAATTTGAGTGGCGCTCGTCAGCCTGATTGTTTGTTTCAAGTTTTCTAACTTTTCAGAGAGAGCAGAAAGCTCTGACTGTAGCTCACTCAGAACACTCTCCAATTGTGCAATTCCAGTTTGCAGAGCATTCGAATCTGAAACATTTGCCACTGAAGCTGTTTCATCCAATCCCCAAGGATCTTGCCAAAACTCACGGAAATGTTTGTCCCAGGTGTCACCATTTTGGTCACGCGGTGGCTTCATGTGGTTCCTGCGGTACTCATGACATTCTTGATAACTGGTGTAAGGTAAACTCTTTGGATTTTTCTCGTGCAAATCTGGGCATGACTGCGCGCACAGATAGCACAAGTACCTGTCTCGATTTTTGTGCCAAACGAAGAAATCTGTACCATCGTAGTCCCTTTTGGTATAAAGTGGTATTTCCCATGTCCAACGACAATTAGCGCATTGGCCTCCATCTGCTGTTGACAGATTCATGCTCCGATCACGAACACACCCGATCACGGACTCTGCCACGACA